GCCCTCGATCGTATCTGCAAAGTAATGCGATTCCAGTGCTCTTCAATATAATCTTTCCATCAGCCGACAACTCCAGGACGTTAGATGCTTCTCTGGATTTTTGCCCATGTACATGAAGCTTCCAGCACTTGATTCCTTTTCTCAACATCCTCCTAGTTCGCAGCTGAATGTTCAGTCGAAGATCCAACTCGAGCAGTCGATGTTGTGGCGCAAATGCAGTCTTCATGTGGGTATGACCTTCGTATTCATCACCATTGGCAAATGATATTCGCAAAAGCCAAATCGTGTCCTTTGGCGGCTTTCAAGATGCGTTCTTCGTCCACGTTTTTCCGTCCATATCCATTTCCGCCATGGTACCACTTGATTCCATCGTGTGCATGGCCAACTTGCCCGTTAACATCGCCTCTTATGAAGATGTAGTTCGCGGCATCGAATGTTCTTAGCAAGGTGTTAAGTCCCTTAAAAAATGTCCTTCTCAGCTTCGACGCATGTGGGTTGCGAGGCTAGCACGACACTACTCGGAGTTCGGCGTCATCTGCCTCGATCTTCATCGCCATCAGTCTGTTTGAAACACACGTCACTTTGGTCACTAATTCGCGGTATTTTGCGCTGACGGTGATCGCAACTCCGTCCTGGCGGCTGCTGTTTCCTGTGTAGTAAAGGCGGGATCCCTCGCCCATATTCTTAGCCTGCCTTCCCTTCTATTTTGTTTCTCGCACACATGCGATGTCGATGTGTAGCCCCCTCAATCTATCGCATAGTTTTCGACTGCAGCTCATTAGCATTCCTATGTTGAATGTCCCTACTTGGACTTCTTCCTAGATAGGCTTCTTTGGCCAGCCTCATTTGAGGGTAGTCGCCCTAGCTCACTATTCGCGCCATGCGGACAATGACGCGCGTCGACTCCGAGGACGCCTTAGCAACTCGAGAAAAATCTTTAGAAAGCCGATGTATTTGACACGTCTGATTCGTACAGTCACCTGCGCATCGCTCCGCCCCACGGGACAATGCCCTCGCCGTTTGCCCTCAGAGAATCGCCGGGGGCACGCGGTCATAAGATTTTTAGACAAGCGGGCGCCGGAAAAGTAGTCCACTAATCCGGTCACAAGCTCGCAGACATTTGGAGGATTTCCGACATTTTTTAAAGG